GTCCCACGCCATACAAGGAAGCCCAACTGGGAAGCAGTTTGGAAGGCTAAGTGACCACATAACTTATTGGGCCTAAAGCCCATTTCGAACTGGGCTGATTTGATCAGTTAAATAAGGGGCAAATTCTGAGATTGGATTAGCAGATAGGATTGGGTCTTAACCCTATCTACTCAGAGAGTCCAGATCTAAATATGATTTAAATCTGGAAACCTCCTAAAGAGATTAGGAAAAGGCTGATCTAATCTGCAGATAAGATAAGGGCTTACCCTTATCACTTAAAGGGAATTCTGATCCAAATATGATTTGGATCAGCAACTCCTAATGGGATTAGGAGTTGATCCCTTTAAGGTTATAAAAGGAGGAGGGGGTGGCAGCCTTTTGACACACTTCACACCCTGTCTTCAGAGCTGAAATCACAGAAGAGAGAATTCAGCATTACTGCGCTAAGTCTCTCTTGCCGCCTCCTTCCTGCCGCCGCCATATCTGCCAATTCGATCTCCTGTTCTCAGTGGGAGTGATCAAGATAAGATCTTGATATCAGTTCTTTGTGGAAGGACTGATTGGAAGTAGTGCTCACGTGCCATCCAGCTGATTTTTGCAAAGGATCTGGTTCTTGTGAAGAACGCTGCTAATTCTGCTCCATCCTGCACTGCGTCATCTTCAGTGGGAGTAGCCTTTGGTTTCTTCCTTGGGCGTGAACACCTCCATTGGGAGATATTATTTCTCCGTATCAAGTATATATCCCTCTCCTACTGTTTTTGTTCAGATCTGGTTCGGTTCTTGGTTCAAGATTGATCCTTGAAAAATATGATTTTTCTAAAATAGGGAATACGATTCCCAGTAAGATGAAGAGAAATTTTTGAAATTCGCTCATTCTATTCTGCAAGATTCGGGCGTCCATACGATGGATATCTCATCCCTTCAGGGGCGGCAAGTGCAGGAAAAAATAAAGCAGAAGGCAAGAACAGTCTAACCGTGTTGTCTTCTCTCTGTATTCAGCGAATGTCTCTTTGGAGGTTCGCCTGCTCTCTTATTTACCTTAAAGAGAAAATTTCCTAATCACATTAGGAGTTTCCTAATCCAAATCTTTTATTTGGATCTGGACTCTTTAAGTGATAAGGATAAACTCTTATCTTATCTACAGATAAAGATTAGCCTTCCTAATCAAACTAGAAGTTCATTTGATCCAAATCTTTATTTGGATCTGAACTCTTTAAGTGGATAAGGATAATCTCTTATCTTATTTGTTGATCCAAATCCCAAATCTGCCCCTATTTAATTAATCTAATTAACCAAGTTCGAAATGGGTTTTTAGGCCCATTAAGCTTTCAGGCTCACTTCCACTTTAATGCTAGCTAACTTGGCTCTCTTTGTATGGTGTGGGTCCCTATCATTGATCTACACATCAGCCACATATGTTCAGCCTAGCCTCTGTTACAAGGCCTGGCCGAATTCACTGCTGAATATAGTGAACCCCTGAGTCCATCACTATGGGCTCTTAATGGGCCCAACATTTACACTAAATGGTTCTTGGATCCAACCATTTTATGAAGGCCCAAGGACTGCGGGCAAATGCAAGATTAGCCCATCAGGTATAACCCTCAATGGTCTTACACTTAATCTCTCAGCCCATAATGATCAAACACTGATCGACAAGAGAAGACCTCCCCCTCGGCTGCAAGGTGCAGTGTTGCACTACTCACATGGATCCCGGGAATTAAAACCTTTTGCAAACATTTGAATCCATAATATATATATATATATGTATATTTCTATATAAATATATTTTGCAAAACAAATTTCAATGGTTGAAATCAACTACCGGCAGTTTAGGTTTCCATCAGAGAGAGTGCATCCCCGATCATTCACTTTGTCCGACAAAGGAGCTGATCCTGTCACTATGATCACCCACTCAGATGAATTCTCGAACT